TTACGTTACTAGAGAGTTGTTCGTAAGGTAGCGCTTGTGTACACTAAAAGCTATTGCGCGAATCGACGTAATTTGAACTCTCAAGGCAAGATTATCATTTTTCCGCTCTAATGTCCATTGCCTTATATGAAAGTGTTATTAACCCGTGAGTTAGTATAAAAAATTGCTTGCACATTCCTTAAGATACTCGTATTTTGTTGCACAGTTAAACTTGATTATACGTGAGTATGGATCGTGGTTATTTCGGCAAAACCAGATTTTTGCCGGTTCACGTCTGTATAAAGTCAGGTGTGTCGAAACGATGGCTCTCTTGTTGGCCCCTAATCGCCGGCGTGCTTGCATGTTTCGCAATCGCATCGCACCGACCGCGGGCCAGCGGGTCTGCCGCTCACTCGATACGAAACACTCGATCGACGGTAATTCGTATATACTTTGATCGCCAATATCAATTTATGTTTATTATTTTATATTAAAATAAATCATTGTATTAAACGAATGTTTTATAAGTTTCACATTCGAAGACCTTCAGACGTCGAATTTTAATCTGTACAAATTGCTTTAATAAAAAGAATGTTAGAAAATTTAATTATAAAATGTGCATTAATTTTATAAAATGTAAAAAATAGGTACAAAAACATTTTTTTAATTTTGAGCTAAAGTTCACGCGAGTCTTATTATTGTAAGAAACCTGATTTACTACTTCGATTACAATTATTTTACAGTTACATTCTATTTATAAAACTATAAAGTTAAGTTATGCAAACGATAAAGGTAGAGATATCGAGAAATTGATAGACATAATAATGATGCTGTGTTACGTTTCTTATTCATCGTGATACAGTGGGCTTAGGTGGGGCTTTGTGGGGGGTTGTGGGGAGGAGGGGCAGCAAGGTCGGGCGCGTGACACACATCCCACCACATTCACCTTCCGTCCGCCATCTGCCTACCACCACTGTCAAGGCTATGTTGCGAAAGCACTCCGCTCAGACGCTCGTAACAAAAGTTGCTACTTTACCACAAGATCCGCCTTATAATGTTGCAAATATATAATAACAACTTGCGGATGTACCGCTTGTAGGGAATTTCGTCGTTAAGTAAACATTAACTTCTTGTTTTTCATTGAATTTAAACCAAATTATACCAGATTTTAAGTTTTTAGAATGAAGTAGATATTATTGAAATATGGAATGACCTCTATTAATATCCTTTGACCTGCGGTCTTTAAATGTCACAACATACCGGTGTTAATGAAACAGAATAGAAACGTTAACTGCGTCAGAATTAAGTTAACGTGAAATCGTAGAGATTTTTCTGGTAAATTATTCATGTGGCTCGTGTTAGGCACTTTCGACGAGTTCTCGTGTAAGCCTTTCACTCTTATCATGCGTCATGGCTACAGCTGGTATCGCAGACGCCGAAATAACTTGCTTATGATGACACGTCGATTTTAATAAAGAAACCTGCTTGATGTTTTACAACCATCTAGTCTAATAGCACATTGTAAACAATATGAATCGCGGTTTTCACATAGTACATGTGGATCTGTTTTCTTTTTTGCTATCTTACCCCGTTCCAGATATCTAACCATTGTAATGTCTTTAAATACTGATCAAGTTGTAATTATGAGTTGTCAAACTTTAAACAAGTGTTATATTACTATTGATTCATGGAGTTTTAGAGATATTTGTTAAATGTAAAAAAAAACTCATTAAAAATTCATCCGTTAAAATCGATTAGAATTCTTGTGAATCGATTTAAAAACGATTATAGTTGATAACAAATATAGTTAGTTATATTTCACGTTTACAGTTGTTAATGTAATTATTTGGTTCGTCGTCACGTTAGTTACGTGTCGGCGTTGCACGCGCGTGACGGCAGCGTTTTTGCTGCGATTCGTGGGCTGCGGCAGAAAGTGTGCTAATGCGTGCGATTTGCGCACCGAACCGCACCGTTGCCGTCTTCCTCTACTGTTATCATATTCCTTATCCTAAAAGCACATGAAACTGGTACTAAATGTTAAACATCAGCTTCATAAGGCGACAGGCAGACCATGTGCGTTGTCCACGCAAGTGAGATTTTAATGTTATTGTACCTGTTTCTAATAGTTTCGAAGTAGGCATTATTTATTGCAAGTCAAAAAATGAAACCAAGAAAACTTGTAAACGTAGACAAAATTAAAATTAACGATGTAAATACCGTTATTAAAATCTTTTAAATAAACATCGCGAATGAACGAATGGTCTACGGAGTTGTACTTAGCAATTATTTATAGCAATTAAAATAATTAGGTTACTCACACGCACTAAAGCATAGAGCTTAATTGTTACTTTAAAAACATATTTTAGTATACTCTACAAGCTATTTTATACTTTCTTGCGATCCATTTTATACTTTCTATTGCCAAAAAAAAAACTTTTTGGCTAAGTAAGCATATTGTAATAGAAGACGTGTGAAATATAGTGACATAACAAAAAAAACTACGTCTAAGGTAGAATCAAACAAACTGTATTTTTCTGACAAAAACCGTCGAAAAGGATGTCTTAGTCTCTTATAAAGCCTTACTAGATCACTATTTAGCTTTAAAATGTAATTATTGCCAATAATAAAGAGTAACCCCTCACATGACATGTCACCAACTCTGATGTATATAAAATTGAAACTAACTAACTGAATATTTATGAAAATGTAAGATTTATCGATTATTGATTCATCGGCGAAACGTTACGTGCGCAGATGGTCTTGGAATTGTTATTCATTATTATAATGAAGTCTTAAATATTTTATTATGTTGATTCTTATGTTAGTAATGTATGGGAGCGTAAACGAGCTGTTAACTTGTGCTAATATTTAATTAGACATAGCTTTCTGTGACGTCATTGTGGACCCGGACACGCCGCCCTCCCATCACTACCGAGTGATGTACTCGAGGAAAATCGCCATTCGCATTTTACTTTCACTTTCTTGTAAATTCACATTATTATAATGAATAAATGAGTTGTTTTTTATATATTTTTTAATATAATTTCGCATTTTTAATACTTATCTGGAAAATTTCCATTTAATTTTTCTAATTTGTTTTCAATTTTATACTTATAAAATTCTGTTACTTGAATTAGTTCCAGTTATTTCGTTTTATTCGTTTTTGTTGTTGAAAATGTTATAATTTTGTTTCGAGGTCATGCAAGAAAAGAAAAAATCAATTCAGTTTACATAAATACAAAATATCATTGTATAAGACGATCCGGTTAAAAGCAAAGTAATGTAATACAAATAAATAAGTGTAACGAAATTAAATGGCATCCGTTAATTAGCTTTCGAAATAGTTGAATGATCTCATTACTGGGTTTGTGACAAGCGACCCATCCGAGCTACAATAGCGCATCGTTCGGAAGCGGCAAGGCCGGACGATTGATTTCGGTTGTCGGTAAGTAGGTTAAATATCCGATAGCGAATTTGATTTAATGCGCTCAGTTCCCGCTCGTCCGTAAGTAGGTGCGCTCAAGCCGGTCACTGGATGTAGGCTAACCAGTGTCCAGTGTTTGTTAATGAGCGGCATGCCTGCTAGGGTCGCCAGGCTCGCGCCCGGAATTATACGGACCAAAAAAGTGGGGATAAATAAACAAATTTTACTTAAATCTTAATTGACTAGCGCAATGTTCTTTAACATTTATACAATAAAATCGCATTCCCTAACGAGTACGACATAAGTTATTAATTAAACGTATATGTAGAGTATGATTGTGTAGGGTGGCTATGATAGTATTTTTAGTTGTTCATTTATATGACATAATTCATATTAGTGTTTCCCTTTTATAATTATATCTGCAAGTGATTAATATGCAGCTATTATATTAATTTACAAGTATGTTTGTTACTCGCAAAAGTGTTTAATGAGGTAGTGATTAATTTAACATTTAAGTGATTGTCCTTACATTTTGGTATTGTTGGTCACCGTGTCGCGCGCGGTCCGTGGCCGGGGCGGCGCGGCACGGGCGAAACGGCCGCACTCTGCATTAGTATGCCGCCGCATCACAACTTTCTACACATTCTTGATGGCAGCCGGAGAAATGAGCGCCACTGGTACACATAACAATTATTTATAGTACCTACTTCTACACTCCTAAAGAAACGACCATTGAGACACGTATAACGTTTAATTTACACGACTAAATTACGTCAGTAAGTTCACGAACCTTAGATGAAAAAGCCCTACTGTTAACTTAAAAATACATCACGCAAGATAAAGGAATTGTAACCCACATTTTTATTAGGGGCTGTCATAATCATAACAATAATTGTCTAAAGACCCTGGCTGACTATACTGTCGTGAGAATAAGTTTTTATAATCAAATATGTTTCCGCAACATATTTTAATCGATGTCATAACAAATTGTTTTTGTATGTTTCCTTTACACCTGAACTAAGTTTTATAATAACCTATTTGAACGTCAAGTATGCAAATCATAGATAGTAATTAGTGTCCTTAGTCCTACGACAGTACTAAGTTGTATTTGCAGAGAATATTGATCTGACATTACCTAATATTTACGTCTTAGTTCTAGGCCGGCCAAACCGCATGCAGTTGTCATTGAACTGATTTTAATCACGGTCTCTGAAGCAAATGGCTTTTTAAATACAAAGTGTTATGAACTAGAATGTATACATAGACGATAAACTGCCGTTGGTCTGCACGATTCATTGCGTTTATTTTTTATTAAATATTGCACCGCTCGCCGCTTTCAAGTTTTAAAATGTTGTTGACTTTATAGTAATATAGGTCTGAAAGTCATTTAATTACTTGTTCTAGGAAGTTACATTGTTGATGTTGTAATCATAATGAATGCTACATATATTATATGATATCATACATACAGAAAACTCACTATATAGTGAGTCATGTATATCTAATATTTTATGTACCTCATAATTGTGTTTCCAAATTGTATGTATGGATATAGCGAATATATTTGATGATTGATTGAGTTATTTGATGTTTTCAGGTGGCGATGGCCGGCGACTTCATCCTCGCCGTGGCGTCGATGATGATAGCTCGCTTGCGCAGCGATGAAGTCACGCTCGTACTTAGCCAGGTAAACTATCACTAATTAATTAATAATACTTTACTTACCTTCGACAAAGCTATAAAAAACAATTAGTAGAGAAACATATATAAGTTCTCAGACAAGCGGGAAGCACTGAAGATACGGTATGCATTACCATGATGTCCTACGTTTTTGCCTATTATAAAATTTTCTTCAACAATTGTTTAATATTGAAAATTTAAATTGAAAACCGAGTTAGATTTAAACATAAAAGATGTATTTAGATGTACTTTTGTAGTTTAAACAAAAAATACTCGCGTGATTTTCCTTTAGATGTGAACTAACCTTTATCGCATAAACCTTGTGCCCTTCATTTGCGAAAATTTATAAGAATACAAAAGATATTTAATCGGTTCTAGATTACTCTATACGTTTTGATTTATTCCAATACTCGTGTTGATTAAACCATTGAGGTTAAATAACTTAAATAACGATAATTGTAACATCCCGCCATTGTGTGTTTTTTTCTCACGCGATTCTTGCAATCTAATGTGAAGCCAAATCATTTGTTGATTTGTTTGTCTGATGCTGCTTTATTGTTATTTTTCTAATCGCATATATGCTTAAAAGTTATATCACCAACATCGATACATTTTAAAGTCGATTTTTATCGTAATTTTAGCTACGAAACGCCTATAAACCTTGAATTAATTCACAGCATAATTTAGTTTGTTTTAATAAATCACATAGAATTTGTCATCCCGAAACATTGTGTCCGGTTGGAAAATTTTATGTTCCATTTTGTATAAAATTAAATATAATTCAATAGTTTATATGCTGACATCTTCGACCAACAATGTATTAATAAGTGTGCCATAAAAAACAAGTTACGGAAAACATTAAGAATTAATTTCTATATCCTTGTGATATCCAAAAATAACTACGAGTTATGCGTAGAAAAAATAATTCGCAATATTGAGGGAATTCTTTGTTGATGTCGTGTATTTCGTGACACTTCGGATATAAAGTTACTGGTCTATCATATATATATATTATAGCTGTCGCCCACGACTCCGTTCGCGTGGATTAAAAAAAATAAAAGTTAGTAGCCTATGTGTTCTTCCAGACTATGCTCTACATCTATACCACATTTAATCGAAATCTGTTCAGCCGTTTAGGCTACAAACTCTAACAAACATCCATCCATCTAAACTTTCGCATTTATAATATTAGTATGATATACATATTTTATAATGGTTTGTTTACATAATGTTTGTGTTGATCAGGTGGTGACGGACCTAGTGCAGGGCGAGTTCATGCAGCTCGGCAGCAAGGAGACGGAGAACGAGCGGTTCGCGCACTACCTCACTAAGACATACCGCAAGACAGCCTCGCTTATTGCCAACTCTGTCAAAGCGGTAATTATGTTTTTTTTATATAATTCTGTTATTCATCCTCTAGGGGTCTGGCGTAGCTCACTTTTTAGTCCAGAGACAATCTAGAAAACAGAATACTCGACAAAGGAAGATACTTCGTCTTTTATTGTCATTTTGACAATTAACTAACCCAATTTGAGCATACATAATTCTTTTTATTTGCAATAGTACAAATACTTATACACACCCATTTTCCTGTTTCAACGTTATCCTCCATTCTCTCCTAACTTTGTTTATTTTTTTAATTATAATTTTATGATTGTTTCTTATAAAAATATTAGTATTTAATATAAATGAAGTTTTACTTTTTTTTAATTATCTTAGTTATATTATAACAATAGTCAGCGCCATCTGTTGGTCGATTACTACTGATCATTTATTTACGTATTACTATTACTTACTATTACCAGTTTGCGCTTTGCTGACGTTAACATTTATTTAAGCTACCTTATACACACCTCATATACACCATTTAACTTTTGTCTTGCAATCCAAGTAGAATTAGAAAAAAAAATAGTTTATTCATATGAATATAGATGGCGGTATTTAAATATGAAATGCGTAGTACTAGAGCGTAGTATAGATGTCGCTGTAACGAAGTACCGTGTGTGCAGGTGGCGCTGCTGAGCGGCGCGGACGAGGCGACGAGCGAGCTGGCATTCCAGTACGGACGCAACCTCGGCCTGTCATTCCAGCTGGTGGACGACCTGCTGGACTTCGTGTCCTCGGCGCAGGCCAT